TGCTCCTCTTACACCTATTCATTCTCTGGCATTATTTGCTACTAAAAATATACACCATCCATCTATTACTCCTTTATACGTGGGCCTGAATTATGCTTTTATATCTTTTCTATCTTTCTTTCTTATTTTCACTCTTTCTTTTCCCTACCCATTTTTGCCCAACTTTTCTTCTTTCCCCCTATTTAGCCCTCATTTAAGGCTCTAGTATATTTACTAAACTTAATAACTATTTTTTTTTACCTAGTCCAGAAACTTATTCCACGTTTACACCTGGATTTGAAGAACCATGGAAAACAACAGCCACAAATTTTAGTTGCTCATAAAGTTGAGGAGCATAAGACTTGGCTCAGAAGTGATGATAGTAAATAGGGTTCAGTGGCATCTCTGAAAGTAGTGCTGATATTGGGATCAGCAGAGATCAAATGTGGACTTAAAAAACAATATCTGGATATTCTACCAACCCAGGTCTTTTAAGATAAAGAAACTCACAAAGTAGTCCCTCTCTTAAAAGAAGTGAGAACTACACCTATAGATGGGTAGACATACAAACAGTATGAACCATCCCAAACAGCCCATAATGCTTCGACTGAGTCCATTGACACTACAGTGGAGGAAATATCAGAGGAAGAATTTAGGAAGTTCATAGTTAAAATGCTCTGTGACCTAAATGAAGATGTATTAAGTGAAATTAGAGAGAAAATACAGGAAATGAAAGATTATTTCAATAAAGATACACAAATTCTGAAAAGAAACCAAATGGATATTCTAGAAATAAAACACTCAAGAAACCGAAATAAAAGTATCACCAATAGAGTAGACCACTTTGGGAGATAGATTTTCAGGCCTCAAAGACAAAGTATATAATCTTGAAAATAAAATTAACCATAAAGAAAATATGTTAAGAGACCATGAATAGAATATTCAAGACATATGGGATAACATTAAACCACCAAATTTAAGATTCACTGGGATAGATAAAGAATCTGGAATTTGAGCTAAAGGGTGCACAATCTTTTGAATGAAATAATATCAGAATAATTTCCAAACCTTAAGAATAAAATATAAACTCAAATAAAAAGGCATATAGGACTCAGATTATACAAAATCACAATAGATCCACTCTAATCACATTATAATGAAATGCCAAAATAAGGATAGAATTGTAAGGGCTGCAGGAAAAAAATGGCTGATCACATTTAGAGCTAAATCAATACAGATTATAGCTGATTTCTCAACCCAAACCCTAAAGCCAAGAGGATTTGAAATATTATATACAAAGCTCTGAAAGAAAAATGGATGTCAACCAATAATTCTATACCCAGCAAAATTAAGCTTCAGAATTAAACATGAAATAAAAACCTTCCATGATTAAACAGAACCAAAAGAATTCATAACTAGTAAGCTTGAACTACAGGATGCAATGAAATATTTTATGAAGAAGAAATGAAGAATAAAAACAAAAAGCAGCATAGGAATGAAGTGCACTAGTAGAATAGATAAAGAAGAATCAAGTCCACTTTAAACATTAGAAATAAAACAAAATGTCACAGAATAAAAGTCATCTCTATATAACAACATTGAAAGTAATTGATCTAAAATTATTCAATCAAAAGATACAGGTT